AGGAGTAACAGGCCGGTGTGTCTGTGCGGCCAAGCTTGATTATTCGGGCTCCTGTAATCACCCTTTCGGGTAAACACTCTACAAAGGAGTGCCGAAAGCGTTGCGCCGCGCGCCCCGCCAGCTGCACCCCATCACGCGCACGCACACCACCACACGCACGCCCTCACACACAGACGCACACACACCGCCACACGCTCTGTACCGGACGGATGGGCTGCTGCGGAGCGTCGCCCGCACCAAGCCGCCTGCCCGCGGGCTGGTTCCGCGCCGCTCTGTCTCTCTCGCACCGCCACGGAGTGGCCCACGAGCGCGACAGAGACAGACGGTGCGACGAGCGAGTCCTGGCGAATCCTTGGCGGGCTGCGTGCGCGGGGCCGGCGGGGCCCCAGCGTTCTGCTCTACCCTCCTCGCCGCCAAGGACGCCCACATCCTGTCAAGCCGCCGGGCCACGGGCCGGCCTGCCCGCGGCGGTCGCTTTCGGCGTCCGTCCGGCCGGGGCGTCTGCGTGCGGCGTTTGCAGGGACCCCGTTTCCCGAGGCGGTTTCGCCACCGGTGGAGATGTAAACTCCGCGGAGGTTTCCACTGGGATGTGTAAACGCGCCCCGCGCGGTTCCATTTCAGTGTTTATCTCGAGGCAAACAGTGGCGTCGCGAGGCCGCCGTGTCACCAACACGCTGCAGCGGGTTGGAGGTGCGTCGCGTGGCCCCGCCCCCGTGGGGCCCCGCCATCGGCCATCACACCCTGCGTCTATTCCTGGTCGGCGTAAACACGGGGAGTGTTTCTCGGTTTGAAGGCCGCCGGCGCCCGCCTTGGAGGTAGGCAAAACGGCGGGTTGTCGCGCGCGCGTGCACTGCGTGGCGGCCTACCCCGAGTGTCGCAGGCGCTCCGTTGGTCGCTGCGCTGCGCTCCGCCGCACCCGACCCGACCGGCCGACTGGCGTGCATCGCGGAAGCGTGCCCGATGGCACGGCGGCACGGCCCGCTCCATCACACTGATAAACGTGGCGGTGATGCAACGTGTGCTATCTGAGTCTCTTTGTCCCAGTTGCTGGGCCGCGCAGCGGTGCACTTAGGTTGGATTGCCTACTCTGACAGGGTTATGTTCATTCTGTCCTATCAAACCTATGGGTTGCCTACTCTGATAGGTTTAATTTCTGGCTCGATTGCCTGCCTTGATCGTGTTACCTACATTAGCAGGTTCGAAAAAGTTGTCTTCTCTAAAATTATCTTCTGCTCAGTAAATAATAGCGTCCCCAGTGGCTTACGATATGTTCGGTGAACTTGCTCTCTACACTTTTTTTCTTCACTGCCCTTGGCCCTAGTCTTAGCTGTGGTTGCTGGACTCTCCGACGCTGGATCGGCCCGATTCGCCTCCGAATCTGGAAAGCACGGCGCGCCGCTTATTGCTCGCATTGGTTATTCTAGAGCCGCCACTGGAAAGTGCATCCACGACGCAGGATGGCTCCATCGCGATCACGGCTCCAGCTGCATTCCGAGCAGCGCTCCGTCTCGCTCGCACCCGTGCGGAACGCAGCGCGCCGCGGTGGAGGGCCTCGCGAGTGCGAGAGAGACGGAGCACTGCTCGGAACGAGGCTGCGGGGATCCTCAGTTCATTTCTCCGCGGTGGGGCCATTTGGGTCGGAGTGCCGCGTCTCTCTCTCTCTCTCTCTCTCCCTCTCTCCTCTCTCTCTCTCTCTCTCTCCTCTCTCTCTCTCTCTCTCTCTCTCTCTCTCTCTCTCGCAGTTGGGCAATGGCACCGATGAAAGGAGCTGAGAATTAAACTGGAGGCGCTTTGCTGGGTAAACGCCACGCTTCGCGCTCGGTGGCTCGGCCGGCGCGGCCGGCTCGGCTTTGCTATGATCGCATGCGCCGAGGGAGAAAGCATATCTCCGAGCCGCATTGTCTCAGAGGCCGGCCGGCTGGCTTCGTAGCCTCGCACGGGGATGGCACGCAGCGTCGTCCTGTCTCTCTCGCACCCCTGCGGGACGTCCCGTGCGTGCGAGAGGGACGGGGCGACGCGCACGCGACGCCGCGACGTCACGCGCGTGACGCGACGTGTGTGAAAAGGGGCGGCGTTTCTTAAAACGGAAATTACCGACCTGGATGACACTTGAATGAGCCCGGCGTCCGCACTGCCGCTTCGCTTCCCTTCCGGTGTGACACGTGACGCGTTACCGACGCGTTACCGCACCTCGTTGCGTACAGTCCGCCCGAAGAAGCTCTCCACTGTTCAAACACATCGGCGCGGCCCGGCGCGGCCCGGCCGAACACTTTCGCTTCTCTCGGCGAAGCGCGGTGGCGGCGGGCCGGCGTTGTTGGCGCCCACCACCTGCTGCAACCGACTTACAGTGCAGTCCAAAACCATCATTGACTCCGGTTCTCGCCCCGGCGCTCCACCCCCCGCCCCACAGTGGGCCAGAAGACCGGTGGAGGCGGACAAAACTCCAGACGCGTTTTGAGCTGCAGAGCCGCTAAACAAGACTCGAACCGCACGTGTGACCCCACCAATGGATTCCTCGTTCGGAGAGCAATCCATTGATGGGGTCACACGTTCGGTTCGAGTCCTGTAAAGCGACTCTGGAGCTCAAAACGCGACTAGAGCTTTGTCCGCCTCCGCCGGTCTTCTGGCCCACTGTGCGCCCCGCACTTGCAGTGTGTATTCCTCGCCGTGAGAACACTCCCGTCAATGGCTCGTCACGCCGCGCCGCCTTTTTCGCACGACGCGCCGCGCGTTGCATTTCATTCATACAAAATCGGACCAATTGCGCACGCACACTGCCACACAGCCGAGTTAGCCATCGCTGCGTCGCTAACGCCAACCAGTGTAGTGACCAGCGCCGCTTTCTCGATTGTTCTTTGTTGCGGTATACTACGCCTCGGTCGGTACGCGTATGGTCTCCGAGTTCCTGCCCCGGAGCGGCCTGCGGCCGGACTGGCGCTGCTGTCCTGGAGTCGCGGCTGGAGCCTCCAGGCCTGCGGGCCTCCAGGCCTCCAGGCCTGCAGATCGCCCGTTTCCGCAGGCCTCCGCGGGCTGGGCCGGCCTAATGAAGTAGTGGCGGCTTTTGTGTGAGTGTTTTGGGAAAGTTTCACCACTACATTGCCGATCTCACTCTTCCGCTCGGGTGGCGCGGTGGCCGCGTCGGTTTAGCGACGGCGTGTGTGTGTGTGTGTGTGAGCCGAAATGGAGGATCGAAACAATAATTATTGGCGGCGAAGGACGCAGCGCCAAGTCGTTTATCAGTGGACACGCGGAAATGACACACGCGAACATACGCAGACAGACGGACAAGCAGACACACGTTATCAGGACGCCGGTGTGTGTGTGTGTGTGCGTGTGTGTGTGATGACGGCTGCCCGTCTTTCAATCAGCACTAGGCTAATTGACTGCGGGTAGTACTGCCGGCCTTTCCAACTGCCGCATTGAATATTCATCGCGTTGTAAAGCCTTTTTCGCGCCGCCGCCGCGCCGTCGGCTGGACTGCGATAACAGGACCGAAAGCTGAAGAAGAAAAATAAGAAAAATGACTCGTGTCATTTGACTAGTCGCTCGGTCCAAAAACAGCGTATCTGTGTGGTCCGCGCGGCCCTGTCCGACGTGGTCCGACGCTACCCGTTTCTCCGCGGGGGCTTTGGAGCGCCTTTGGAGAGGCGGCCTGCCTCTCGCCGCGCGCGCCGCTGAATCCGTCATTTTTGTAATGGGATTCGGATTCGGAATGGGCCGCTGACCCGGCCTGCCCCGGCATAAGTCAGTAAGTCAGTCGAGCTTTCCGCGGATCCGCGCGCCGCTGATTGATAAAGAAGTTGCCGCGGCGGGGCGGGGCGGGGCGGGGCGGGGCGGGGGCGGGGCGGGGCGGGGCAGTCCGGTTGGGGGGGCCGGGCCGGTGCCGGCGGCGGCGGGTCTGGGATTTCGTCCAGGCGGACACAGACGGCCACCGCGGAGAACGGCGCAAATTAAAATCGGAAAAGTAGGCGGGCCGAGGGAGGCAAGGTGACTCCCGGCGCGGCGCCCTCCCGGCTCAGCGGGTTTCGGCTGCACACGCCTGTGTGTCTCTGCGTGCGTGCGTGCGCGGGTTGCGAAAACAGAGATACTTTTTCATTAGCATGGCTGTAAGCAAAACCAGTGGCCACGCGGACTGGCGCTTCAAATCGTCTTTCTTTCTGCTGACGCGGGCCGTGGCAGTGCCGTGGCCACGTGCTCTTGGCGGCCGGGGTGCCTACTCCCTGGGCGGCGACGGGCCGCTCCGTGGGTGCGACAGAGATAAGAATGAGCGCGTTACCGCGGACCACTCCAACGCGGTGCCAGCGAGGCGTCCTCACCAGGAAGTGCGCCGCATCCTGCCGCCCGATTCGTCGCTCTCTCTCTCTCGCACCCTTACGGAGAGCCCCACGAGTGCGACAGAGACAGAACGACTCTTCGAAGCGCTCGGCTGTAGTGCCACTTAGCGCCACAGAGGGCACCTCGGTCGCCCACGACGCGCCCGAATTTATCTCTTCCGCATGATCAAAGAGACTGCAGTCACTGCCTTCTATAAAGCAACCTTGCACTGGCAAGGCGTGATTGGAGCGGGGGGAGGAGGGGAGGGGCTGCGAGGTGGCCTTGCCGATGGCGCGGACGGTCATCAGCGACGAGGCGTTTTCGACGCGGTGGTGGGTCCAACGAGCCTGGTGGTCACCATATTCTGGCTGGGATTCAATAGCATAAGTCTATGGATGAAGTAGGGAATGAAACATCGACTCCTGGCGACGAGTTCTCGCTGTCGTGCTCGAGACATCCTGCCGCGCACCCATTGGCGGCAGGGCGAGCCGCAGCGCCTACAAGACGTTCCACGGACGACGGCCCGCCCCGCATCGACACCGTGGCGCAGGGGCAGGTCTGTGAATTCGTTACATTGCTTACAATATCTCGCTAGCTTGCTTCCGAAGCGTTTGCATCGCTTGCTTGCTATCAGTATCGCGGAATGAAGCTCATCGACTCACGTTCGTTTTTCAATTTTCTTACAGAGGTGTCTCTTTGACACGATCCCAGTCCAACGCGGAGCATGGCAAGCTCAACTTCGCAGGGTGCTCCGTCTGAGGTGCGTACTTGATGTGCTACAGGTTGTTGCTGAGACGCATGCGTCTGCAGGAGTCACAAGGCTTGCCCGTGTTCCAGGCCCTCCAGAACGGGGTCGCCGCGATGGAGCACAAGTGCACAGTCTGTGCCGCCGCCTTCCCCTCGCCGTCCGAGCTGGCCGCACACGTCCGAAGCTCGTCGGCCGAGAGGCGATTCCAGTGCTGCGTCTGCAGCAAGACGTTCTGCTGGAAAAGCATCCTCACGGCTCACCAGAGGATCCACACGGGGGAGAAGCCATTCGAATGCAACGTTTGCGGCCAAAAGTTCAACCAGAAAAGCATCCTCAAAATGCATCTTGTAACCCACTCAGAAGAGAGGCCTTTCGCGTGCCTAGTTTGCAATAAGAGGGCCAAGACTAGAGGGGCGATAAGATTTCATATGAGAACACATTTAGAGGAAAGGTCTTTTGAATGCGCAGAATGTAATAAGAGGTTTAAGGATGATAAAGCGCTCAAAAGTCACCAAGAAACCCATACTGGGGAACGGGATAAGCCTTTCGAGTGCACAGTTTGCAAAAAGAAGTTCGTCCAAGCTGCTGGTCTCGAGGTTCATTTTCGAACCCACACAGGAGAGAAGCCTTTCGAGTGCACGGTTTGCAAAAGAAAGTTTGCCGATAAAGGATATCTCAGAGAACACTCTCTAGTTCATTCAGAGGAGGAACCTACTTTTGAGTGCCCAATTTGCAATAAGAAGTTTTTGTCCACATCCCGTCTTAGAAATCATTTCAAAACTCATACAGGAGAGAGAAATTACGAGTGCACGGTTTGCAACAAGAAGTTCAGAAATGAGCAGCATCTTGTAGTTCATCTTCGCATTCATACTGGGGAGAAGCCTTACGAGTGCGAAGTTTGCCATAAGAATTTTGCCTATACTCGTAGTCTCACAGATCATCTTCGCGTCCATACTGGTGAGAAGCCCTTTGAATGCAAAGTCTGCAATCAGAAGTTCCGAACTAAGTCAAACCTTAGATCTCATGGTTGGTGTCATGCCGGTGAGAAATCTTTTGAGTGCTCTGTTTGCAATAAGAAGTATCGTAATGGAAATGAACTCAGATATCATGTTCGTAGCCATATAGGGGAGAAGCCTTTTGAGTGCACAGTTTGCGGTATGAAGTTGACTAAGGCCAGTGGTCTCAGAAATCATCTTCGAACCCATACTGGGGAGAAACCTTTCAAATGCACGATTTGCAATAAAAAATACAGACACGAAAAGAGTCTTCATACTCATGCCATGGTTCACACAGGTGAGAAGCCTTTCGAATGCACGGTTTGCAAAAATAAATTTAGTACGGGAGCCTATCTTCGACTTCATCTTCGAACCCATACTGGAGAGAAACCTTTCAACTGCACGATTTGCAATAAAAAATACCGTAAGGAAGAAAGTCTTCAAGCTCATGTCATGACTCACACAGGTGAGAAGCCTTTCGAGTGCACGGTTTGCAATAAGAGATTTAGTATGGGGCATTATCTTCGACTTCATGTTCGAACTCATGTAGGGAAGACACTTTTGGAGCCAGCACAGAGTGCATTAGTACCTGAAATTTAAGACTCTAGTGGAAACCTGAGAGTACACCTTGGTATACCTTGTGAGTGGCTGAAAGCCCAAGGCTTTGCCGTTAAAATAAATTTGTTTCTTCATTTGGAAGTTGAAGAAAGATCTTTGCTGTTGGCTAGCTGAGGTGCTCTTACTGATGTAGTTTAATTTGTCATATGTTAAACCTTCTGAACTAATGTTGTAAACCAATCTTTATGTAAATTTGCATGTCTGTCAACATTTTATTCAATAAATAATGTATAGTAAATAATGTGAAATATTGCCGGTCGTCGCTAACTAACACCTCATTATTCCTTCCTCCACGATTTGCCCAACGCCTCCCGCTGTCTGGCCGACGCCCTGGCGGTCCGCGGTCCACACGGTCCAGTGGCAAGGGCCCCGTCCGGCCTCATTAATTGGCATATTGTTTGTAAACGCATTGAGAGGGCGGGGCGGGGCGGGGCGGCCTTGCTGGAGGTCGCCTGTTTCGTTTCCTCGTGCTTCTGGGTATCACGACTGTCCAGATGCCGACCAGGGGCGTAGCGCCACAGTTTAGCCGCGTGCACACACACACACACACACACACACACACAGCCTCCGCTCCCAGGCCCAGCACTATCCGCGTGCTGCCACGCCCTGTCTCGAAAAAGAAAAATACTTTCAGCGCGTAGAGCGAACCCAGATCGCCGAATGGCGAGTCGGATGAACGAGTACTAAACCCTCCGCCCGGTACTATTCGCGCGCCCTGCGCAGGCCACTGCTGCCAACAAGACACCTCTTTTCTTTTCCATTTCATAAATGCGGCAGGAACGGTCACTTTTCGGAACGCGGTCAGCACGGGCGGCGACACCCGATCCGCCCCACCTGTCTGACAGTGTCTGCCTCGCAGCGCAAATCAGCGACTATCCGGAAGCACCACGCCGCCGCACTAGAAACAGCAAGAAAGTGTCGCGTTGCGCTGAGCGGGCCGACTGGACTTGTGCGGTGCACCGGTACCCGAAGGCACCCGAAGGTACCCGAAGGCAGTCGAAGCCAGCCGAGGGCAAACGAAGCGAGGCAAGCCCGGCGCGTGCCTGTTGCCGCCATTCATGGGAAACGCAGACGCAGTGAGTCACCGCCATAGATCCGCCGCTTCATTCGAACGGCGTGCTTGGCGCACTCGCGACCAAACAATGGCCGGCTTGGCAGTGTCGCGGCGGTCCTTGTCTTATCTGGAGCAGCAGGTGAACCGAAGGACGAAGGTTAGTCATGATGCACCCGCGGGCCTTGCGCAAGCGCGGCTGCTTCCGTCCCCATCTCTCTCTCTCTCTCGCACTCGCAGGACGTCTCGCGAGGGTGCGAGAGAGACAGAGCGCCGCTGTCGCGATTTATGCTACTACCGAGTCACGACGCCGGCACGGCCGCGCCTTCCAGTGTGCTCGCCGAGCTCGCCATGCGGGTCGACGCGTTGAGGCCAACGGACCGCGTCGGCTCAGCGCTCAGCATCCCTCCGACGCGACGTCCCGTTCAATTTATTTCGAGAACAAGTCGGAAAGCGAGAAAAAGAAAAAAGCGGTCCCGAGCAATGACACGTCTCCAATTTGGGGAATTAGCATACGACACGAATAAGGAACGTATTCCGGGCTGCGTGCCGGCCGGACGAATACCGTCTTCTCACGCACCCAGCGGCTCGGTTTTCTCGTTTTTATTTATTGTTTTTTCATCTTTTTATCTCCTCGATCCTAACGTATGACAGTGTGGCGAATGAAGGCATTAAGTGTCGAGGTGACACGCTTAGCTGCTTACCCGCATGGCTCTCTTTTTACGGCCGGCGCGCGCCAAGCGGTGAAGCGCCCTGAAGTATGGGTCGGGACAAAGCGGCATCAGAAGGCAGAGCGCAGAACGCAGTCGCGGAAAAGATCTCCCTGCCGTTGATCGGCCGTGCGCGCTGCCGATCCACTGCCACACTGCAGCCGCTGGCCCCCATTTTTATTGGCGATCTAGATTATGCTGATTGAGCAACGTTGCCATTGATGTATAAATCAAAGTCCTTTTTTTTGTCCCCCTTTCGTACCGCTCCGCCACTACAACACACAGACCGCCTGGCCGTTGGTTCGCTTACTCGCGGCGTTCTGTGCGATCGCCTTTGCGGATAAGCGCACCTGTTCCATTTTCCTTCCTATTAATACCGGAGGGTGTGCGGTCTGCAGGCCTGTGTGGTCGGACTGCTCACTACACTATGGAAATGCAACGCGGTGGCGAGACCGCTACACGTAATTACGTTTGGTTGTTTTTTTTTTCAGTGTCATTGTTTTCGAAACGTGGAAGTGACTAGGTAGCCTGCGACGCGGCAGGGACTTGACAATAAGTAGGGCGGGCATGGCGGCGGCGAAATGTCACTTGAGATAAGAACATCGCGCCACACTAACAACACACCTAGCCACCCGATGTAGCGGTAGCCGTCCGTCCCGCTTCAGGTACAACGCATTCGGCGCCAAAGTCGAAAACAATGCCGCTCGCGTATAAATAAACCGCGCTCGTGCCTCCGCACGCGGCCACGGCCCGTCCTCATCGTCGCCCTGCTCCGCTTGTTCCAGATGACATGACGCCGCCTAACGAGTCGCAGCAGCAGCGTCACTGAGAGGCCTGAGGGGCCCGACGGCCTGAGGGCCGCTACCCGGCGTGGTGGCGGCGCGCGGCGCGGTGGCCCGGCCGGCCGGCGGCGTCCCGGCGGCCGCGGCGTCGCCGTCCTCGCGCGCGGGCGGCGCAGGCCTTGGCGCAGGCACTCACTCGCGGCGCGGCGTCGCGGACACATGGGCCGACGCCTGGCGTCGCCGACTTGAAGTCTCCGCCAGCGGGGTCCCCACCTTCGTCGCCATGGAGGCCGACGTGAGCCACGACCTGCAGGACTTCTGGGCCGAGTACAAGATCCTGCAGGACAAGAGCCCCAGCCACGACGAGGAGGACTACGGCAACGGCAGCGACGGTGAGTGGCTAACCTAACGCTCTTCCAAAGTCCCAAGTCGCTTCAACTATGGTAGATCCATTTTCAACAAACGCACAGTGGGCCAGGAGGCCGGCGGAGGCGGCCAAAACTCTAGACGCGTCAGCCAAATGCTGAAATTTTGTCTTTTTCCGCCCCGAACTTCCCGATTCCTATGACGCCCGGCTCGCAAAGGGTGCGGCGCCGCGGTTGTTGTTCTTGACTGATTGCGATAGTAATCCCGCGGCCGTAATCTTTGATGGAAGACTTTCTGAGCACGGTCCACTGTAACGCGTTGCCACCGGCGGCGGATGTGGCGGCGACGGCCAACGCGCATCGCGCGCCGTGCGCGCCGTTCGAACGATTCAAAGCCTGCGAACCAATAGGAGCAGCCAGTGCCAGCCAGTGTGCCATGGGAAGCCAGCCAGCCATCAATGGTCCGCGGCCCCCACGCACACAGACTCACGCCCATCACACACACACACCACACACACACACACACACACACACACACACAGAGACGGGGAAGGCGCGCGCTTCCTTCCTCTATAAAAGGCAAGTGCGGCCGGACCCACCGCCGATGCCCTTCGCAGCCAATGAGAGGAAGAGGCAGTGTACTGTACGGCGGAGCAGTACCGTCTGCAGACCGGCCGCGGGGGCAGGGGGAAGGGGGTCTGGTGCTTCCCCGTGACACGCGACACCCCACTGCAGGTCGTCTGCTTCCTCCGATTTATTTTCGGTCCATTCCCTGTCCGCGCGCCGGAGGAGGGGGCAGCGGGGGGCTGGTGCATCAGGAAGCATGGGGGCGCACGGTGGGCCAGAAGACCGGCGCCGGCGATCAAAACCAAAGGCGCGTTTTTAGAGAGTCGCCAAACAGGACTCGAACCGAACGTGTGACCACACCAATGGATTCCTCGTTCGGAGAGCAATCCATTGGTGGGGTCACACGTTCGATTCGAGTCCCATTTAGCGACGTTGGAGCTCAAAACGCGTCCGGGATTTTGACGGTCTCCTCAGGTCTTCTGACCCACTGTGGGTCTGATCGCGCCGCTGCGCCGCATGGCATCGATGCGAGTCGTATCGAAGTGTGCTATCGATATAACCGCCAACGACACATCGAGCGAGTCCGGGCGACCTTTCCCGACGGCGACATTGTGGCCGTCAACAGCAAGATCAGCAAAAACAAGAGCGTTGCCGCCACCCGGTCCGCTTGACCTGCTGCCATATAGACGTGCCCCGTTGGGAAAGCATTTCGGAGTCCTGCAGGACTCGACGCCGTGTGAGTCAGATCCGTTATAATGTCGTACAGTCATAAGGACAACGAGTACAGGATCCTTTAGCGGGGTGCGCTCGTGATGTTTTGTCAAAGGACTTTCCCCTTGCGTGCGTGCGTGCGCGTGTGTGTGTAGCGGGCAAAATGTAGCCGTGTCGGTGACTCAGGGGCCGAACAGGCGCGGGGCAGCTCCAACAACAACACCAACAGGATTTCTGTCAAGTGTTGGGGCACTGTGACAAAACAGCGAGGCTTGGTCCTCGCCAGGTGCATCAAATGCATATTTGACCAATCATTGCACTTCTTTTTGGCGCGAGTCCGCCTCGAGCTTCATTGTCCTCGTGCCGTCGTGTTCGCGCCGTCCGCCGCCGCCTACACTGCGCACTTGCCAATACGTATCGCACGAGTGTATGTGTGCGTGTGGGCTTGGACCAGCTCGGCCGTTTGGCGGACACCTCGCAGACAGACGGACAGACAGACAGACAGACAGACAGACAGACAGAAGTGGGCGTGATCGGGGTAATGCGGGAATGCCGGGGCAGTGCCGGATTTGCAGCGGCTTTGCACAAATACGGCAGCTTGTCCCACCCTTGCGGCGGTGCGGCGTCCGCCGCACAGTGGGCCAGAAGACCGGTGGAGGCGGCCAAAACTCTAGACGCGTTTTGAACTGTAGAGGCGCTAAACAGGACTTGAACCGATCGTGTGACCCCACCAATGGATTGCTCTCCGAACGAGGAATCCATTGGTGGGGTCACACGTTGGGTTCGAGTCCCATTTAGCGACTCTGGAGCTCAAAACGCGTCTACAGTTTTGGCCGCCTCCAGCGGTCTTCTGGCCCACTGTGCGCCGATGCTGTGTCCGCTGCGCTGACGTCACACGTTGACAAGTACACGGCCCGGCCATAACAAGGAAGTGACGGAAAAAATGGCTTACCTGGTATTCGAACCCACGGCCGTCGCGTCACGCTCGGAGCTCGCGCCATGCGCTTTCCGCGGGAAGGGGAAGTCCGTCCAGCGCGTCCAGGGTGGCCGGCCGCGCCGACTTCGGCGGAATGGCGCGAGGCTACGCGAGGAAGGAAGCAGCGACCCTGGCCGAGGCTAGTTTTCATCTCTGATCACTTCAGATACAGATCCGGCCGGAAAAAAAAAACGAAACAAAAACAAAAATTGATGCTCGACCGGGTGGTGGCAGCAGCGACAGCGGCGGCGGCTGGTCGCGAAACTGCGGAGGCGCGCCGGACAGCCGAGCGGCCGGGAACAGCGAACAGCCCCTTTGCAATGTGATCGCTAAACGAACAAGGGGACCGACCGCCGCGCCGCGCCACGCCCGCCCGTGCAGTGGTCGAGTCGCCGAGTCCGTCCGGGCCGGGCCGTGGGCCGCGCCAGCGTGTCGTGTCGGCCCGAGCCACAGCCAGCCAGTGTGCCGGCAACCCCAAGCATGAACGCACCGCGGCGTTCCACCCGAACAGCTCGTCGCCCCAGAAGGCCCAGAAGGCCCGCAAGGCCCTCGCGCTGCACCGCCCGCAGCACCGCGCCGCGCCAGTGACCCCGCGCTACCGGACCAACAACAACAACATCGGGAGCCGCGGCATGGCGGTAGTGCAGTGAGAGTGTTGTTGTTGTCGTCGCCGTCATGGGGATGCTGACCAAGAAGAGGGCCTTCATCAGCACGGCCGTGAAGCGGCTGCTGAAGCGGGCCACGCAGCGCGCGCGCAAGCCCTTCGGACTCGGCACGCACGTCGACGCCGTCGACTTCCTGGTGGGCTCGGACACCGTGGCCCGCGACCGATACACGCGGCTGCCGGGTAGGTTGGTGATGCCGTCGTGAACGCGGCGCTGGCGGTCGAGTCGTCGTCGGCGACGTGGTCCGAGACGGACGCACGGTATATGTGTCGGGCTGAGCTAAGTCCGCTGCGAACGTCAGCGTCGTGCAAGAGGGCGCCGTCGGCCCGAGCCGCCGAAATGCCAACCAGGCATGATTGCTTTCTTCTGCTTTGGCGGTTCAGCAGTGGGCCGGGTTTGGCAATCCAGAGCAGGGAGCGTTGGCCGCGGCGCGGTGCGCGACTGGGGGCAGCCGGGGGCCTGGAGCTCGAGCCGACTGGAGTCCAGGCCGTCCGGCAGGAGCTGGAGTCTGCTTATCGGGAGGCCGCCGAGGTCCCCCCAGAGTCTCATTAACGAAGGGACCCCGCTGCTCCTGGCTGGGGCCAGCCCGGGCCGGGTGGGCTAAAAGTACGCCCCTCGTTGGGCCCTGTCGAGCCATTCCACGGCATCGCTGTCTCTCTCGCACTCCTGCGGGACGCCCCGTGAGTGCGAGAGAGACGGGGATCTTTGGGCCGCGCACAGTGTGCCGCCCGCTGCACTTCCGGCGCTTTGTCAAGGCGATCGCGCCCGTCTTCCTGTTGTCAGGACGTGATCTATTTTGGCTGGTGGGACTCCATTTGGGGCTCCTCGGCGTGGGCCGCGACCAGACGCGGCCAGCACACTGGTTCCGAGAGTCCGTCTCTCTCACACTCATGGGGCGTCGCTGTAGTAGTTGCGAGAGAGTCGTCGACGAAAACTACTCTCGGAATCAGTCTGCAGTGGCGTGCTGACTGGAGGGGTCAATGCAGGGGCAGACCACCAGCCAAGCGTCCTTCTGATGCAGCTACGCCGCTGCCCGGCCCTGCCCTGCCTCCCGGCTACGCCCCTGGCTGGAAGACTTCGCGGTGACACGCGCGGCGAAAGTGGTTGCTATGGAAACTTGAACTAGGGAAATAATTACCTGCTGCGTGGTGTAGAGAGAGACAGACACACAGAGATAGGCATCGCGTCTTGAAAATCGTGTCCTTCTCACTTCCTGCGCTGCCGGTGCCGCTGCCGCTGCCGGCTCTGCGGACGGAGCGGGCCCTGAGAGCTGCACTTGTCGCGTGGCCGTCTTTGGCTTCGACACTGCTTTCTTCGCGTGCCGCCGTTTTCCGTTTTTCTATTATTCCGTCCTTCCTTTCCCTTGGCGCCCCTTTTGTGTGTGCCTTTCCCCCGCGTGTCGTGTCCGAAAAGAAAACCAAATCCCCGCCGATTTGGCACGCCACCGCGTTGTACCGCGCGCCGTGGACGCCGGGTGGACGCGTCGCGGGCCCAGCCCTCGGCCCAACCGGACCGGGCCGAAGCCGAAACGCCAAGCCCTCGGCCAAGCCCGCCGGCCGGACAGAATCGGAGAAGCGGTCTAGTTGCGGCTCCGTTTTTTATTCCCCTCGTCCCAAAAAACAAGGTGCCCGCTGCGGGGCCAATTTGGCGGTTTAAATTTCTCGCGCCGACCGCCGCGGATCGCGTTTCCAACATATTTGCCCGTTTCCGGTGTAGGCACTGGACTCCGGTCGGTGTCGGCTCGCTCCAGCAAACGGGCTCAAGGCTCGGCTTCGATCTCCGATCCGCCAGCGATCCGCGCGTCCGGTGAGGCAAGCTTCCGAATGTGGTCAATATCGGGCGAACCCGAGACTCTGCTCGCGGCGCGCACGCATCGCGAGGCACGGCGGCGGCGCAGGCGGGGCAGGCACGCACGCCGCGCGGGGGTGGGGCGGGGCAGCAGAGCGGACGTGAGTGCGAAATAATTTTTCCCCTTTTTTTCTTTTTTCGGCACGTGCTTTGTTTTAGCCGCTCCGTCGCGGCTTTCTTGTCGCGGATCTCGTCCGTATCGCGTTACGTTCCGAAAGGCAAAGCCTTGCGGTGTAGGGGAAGGGGCAAAAAGGAATCCTTGAGCCTGGGTCTTGAACCCGCGTCCCGACCCGACCCGTCCCGCGAGCAGCGCGCAAGTCGATGGTTCTCTGTTTTTCCCCGGCGTGATTTGGTCACGTGGTGCTAACGCGCTCGTGTGGCGGCAATTAGCGGCCATTTCTATTCGCCTTTCTCTCTCTCTCTGCTCCGCCCCCCTGGACCTCTCCCCTCTCCCTCCCTCCCGCCCGCGCGCACTGCTGCGCCATCGTTCGCCTTTGCATCGAACCTGCCGCCAATTAACACGCGTCGCGTCGTCTGCAGGCCGACGCCGAACGACGCCGCCTCGTGGCGCTGTCTCTCTCGCACCCGCGGGACGCTCCGCAGTGGTGCGACAGAGACGGAGCGACGCAGCGGTGACCGCCTTGATAAATGCAAGCTCAGTGCCGCCGGCCCGAAACGCTTTGCTGTGACGCCGTACGGCCACCTGAGTGAATATATGCCACGGCGGCGACGACACTGCGCTCTCATTCCGCTCTCTCTCGCACTCCCCGAGCGCGCCGTGGCGGCGCGAGAGAGACAGCGCGACGAGGGGGCACCGTTCGGAACCAGCCGGCTGGCGAAGAATAAAACCGTCCGTACGCCGCGCCCCGCTGCCCTCGCGCGTGGAGTATTGATAGACGAGCCGGGCCTGGCCCTCAGCCTGGCCGCCCCCACGCCGCACGCCCGCGAGTGCGAGAGAGACAGACAGAGCGTGGCGAGGCTTTCCGCCCACGTGAGGCCCGGTGAGCCCGCCGACAGTTAATTCATTCATTCATTCATCCCTGCGTCCATTCATCGGGTCGCCGGTGTGCTATTAGCCGTTTTGACGCGAGGTCGTCGGACTGCTTTGCGTCCGGACTATCCAGACGGCCGGCTGAATCCGAGAGTCGCTTTCGTCGCTCTGTCTCTGTCGCACTCATGGGGCGTCGCGTGTAGGTGCGAGAGAGACAGACGGCTCTGGGAATCAGTCTGGCCGCCGGTCCAGCCTCCGCGGTGCGCCCTGTCCGGCCGCCACAGAGACGCGACGCGACACGAGACGCCAAGAGACACAGCACACCGTTTCGGCGGCTTTTCGGTTTCAGCACTAAAACTGCCGACGGCTCATTTCCGGTCCTCCGGATACGGTCGACGACCGCCTCGCAAGTTTTGCTGCTTTTCCTGTTTTCTTTCCCGCAGCCGAGCGACGCCACCGTAAAAAGCAAGAGCGGCCCTTGGAAAAACGAAAGTGGAGGCGGGATTCGAACCCGCGACTGAGTACGGTGTCAGCAAGCCTTGCTGACGGTCTCCTCGTTGTGTTCCAGATGGCGAGCAGGAGGCGGACTGGCTGGAGGCGGCGGGGCAGAAGTCGCTGGTGGCGGCCTTCCGCGCGGGCCGCGAGCTCCCCGACAGTGTCCTGGAGGCCTCGCTGCGCCAGCTGCCGCGCCACCAGGCCGAGGCCGTGCGCCGCCGCGTCGACACCCTGAACCGCACGGTGCGGCAGCGCGGACGCCGCCGCCAGCGCAAGCCGGACATCAGGGACGTGTTCCGGGACCGCGACCTCGAGGTGGGTGCACTGTGGGGCCGGAGGAGCGATCAGTAACCGGGACAGACCCCTGCAACGAAGATTATATCGAGTGGCTTCGGTGATACTCGCCTTGCCGCCTGCGGGTAGGCCACCCGCTCGGCACCCCTGCGTCGATTGCCTACCCCGGACTTCGCAGGCGCTTCTTTGTGGTGTGGTGGTTTATTTCCGACCACCGAGTGAGCCCTACCGGGTATCGGCCTATCGCGCCCCCTGTCCTGTCATCGCGGTGCTGTCATTGTCCGCGAGCAGGCTGCCGAGGAACGCGGCGACGCCGTGTTGACGCAGAGCCTCCTTTTAGATGGCTGCCTTATCAGTTATTGCCCCCCTCCCCCTCCCCTGCCTCCGGTCCGCAGGACTCGGCAGGACTCGCAGGACGCTAGAATGGGGCAGCGCGTATGACACGCCGTAATCCTTGTCCTACCTGACGCACCGCCTCACTGATGCGTCAGCGTTCGCCTCGTTGCGTTTCCCTGCTTGCCGCGTCCGCGCCGTCAAAACACTGGCCGCCCCGCCCCGCCGCGCCATGGGTCTCGTCAGGCTGTGGCGCAAGCGAAGGCGCCGCGAGCAGAGGCTCGTGTACTGCGTGACGGAGCACCCCGCCAGCCCCGTCCCGGTGAGGGGCTGCTCCTCCGGGCTCTCCCGACGACGACCAGGCTGTCCAGGCTCGGCTTGACTGACTCCTCGTTGCTCCCTGCCCGCAGAACTCCAGCACCGGCACCCGGTCGCGCAGCGCCACGCCCGACTCGCTGGACTCCGAGCTGCCCTGCGAGGATGCCGCCCTGGCCTGGTCGTCGCCACACAGCTCGCCGCAGGACCGGTCGCCGCCCACGCCCCACTCGGTGCACTCCGTGCCGCTGCCCCACTGGGCCACGGGCCCCACCGCCATGGGCCTGGACCGCCTGGACCGCGGATCGTAAGTAGCCCGGGTTCAAATACCAGCCCTCCCTTTGAAAAAGAAAGAAAAGATGGTAAAGATGAAATTGCGACTGCCTACAGCCCACCGACTCCGCCGCCCAGCTTCGTCCAGATCTTCCAGCCGGTCAGCATGCGCGCCGCGCTCAGCTCCCACAAGGCCGTCCGCCGCTTGCCCAGCGCCCCGGCCGGGCCCGGCCAGACCGTGCTGCCCGTGCACGAGCTCTTCCGAGGCGCCTACAGGGGCTCGCTGTACGGCGGCGACATCGTGGCGTCGGACTGTGGTCAGTAGCAGTGGGAGTTACACCGCCATCAGCGTCTGTCATGGAAGCTCTGTCTTTGTCTTCACTCCTTTGGGAAATTATCTACTCTTCGACGGGGCTGAATGCTGCACACGTGTCCATTGTATGATTTAATCTGATCGAGAAGTGAAATGCTTTACATAGTTTTTATTTTGTTCACAGCGAGGGAGTGGAAATGATCAACTATCAGCGCATTGGTTCGATGCACCTGTCGAAATACAGGACTCGCTCTCGTTTACCAGAAACTCTTCGAGATAGATCGACAGATCACACCCTGAGTTCTTCGGCACCCTCCAGTAACCATGATCTCACTGCTGATGTTGAAAATAACCATAACACCAGCCTGAGGTCAGTGTGTGATGCCACTTGTGGAAAATGTTATTTTAAAATAAGTATGTTGTACTCATGGCGTTTTCTCAATTATTTAGGCGCAATCTTCTGATTCCTCATGCCTCAATAACAAGAAGTCAAAGTAGTGTTTATGAAAGAGAAAGAGAGGCGCAGCAGGATCCAAGGAGGAACCGCTCTGGCTCACAAGGGCACCTTAGTTTTGAAGAAGTCTGCAGGCAACGAACCTTAGACTCTACAGTAAGTCAATCATCTGAATTTAAGCAACAAAGAGTGTCTTCGAAATTTCTGGTTCTAAGCATGTTGTCTTATCTTTTCAGGTTTTAGCAGGCCCTGCATCTCTCTGTTCTGAAAAACCTGAAAGTGGAAGAACTTGGATGGAATTTCTTAGTGAAGCTGACCACCAGAAGCTTTACCCTCTATTACTGCTAGAAGTTACTGCTCTCTTTGATAGCTGTGGGCTGTCATTTAGGAAAAGAAAGCCGAGCAAGCGAAAGCGAAAAGAAGGTAAAAACCAAGAGAACCTTTTTTGTTTTTGATTGATATTGTTAAGATAAATGTTAAAACCAGCCATCATTTTTTTAGAGGGCAACATTTTTGGAGTCTCTCTCCCCACATTACTTGAGCGAGACAGACAGCAGTGCTCGGAGCATTCAAAAGTGCCCTTTTTGTCCAAAAGGTATGGTATTTGGCACTGGTGTTAGAGTTAATTTTTACATGGTTTCCTTATTTGCTGATGCGCTGACAAGACTTTTTGTACTCTGTTCCAATAGCTTGTCAGCCAACTGGAAAAGAGAGGACTGCAAGAAGAAGGAGTTCTAAGAGTTGCTGCTCATCGCCTGAAAGTGGAAACCTTAACTGGAAATTTGGAAGAGAATTTCTACTCCAGGCCTGACCAAGTAGAGAAGGTCCTGGAATCAGCCAGCGTCCACGAATTGGCTGCTCTTCTCAAGAAGTGGCTTCGTGATCTACCTCAGCCTCTGCTAACTCCTGAATTGGTGGCATTGTTTTATCGCACTCATGAACTTCCCGCCCATTTGAGGGCCAGAGCTCTCAACTTACTTGTGCTGCTCCTTCCTGCAGAAAATCGAGCAACTCTAAAAGTTTGGTCGATTTTCTCAACAGAGTGGTTGAAAACCAGGAATACAACAAGATGTCTCTTCATAATGTTGCTATGATTGCTGCTCCGTCCCTATTTCCTCCTAGGTAATTTTTAGTACCTATATGGACTTGCTTCTAACTTCATTCCACTCTTGGAAACATTTTGTCTAAATATTTGGTTTTGTATTTTAACAGGTATGTTGAGTCCGCAGCTGCTGCTGGCAGCGGCAGTGACAAAGCATCACTTAGCTCTCAAGTGAGTCTAGCGGCAATGTGTTGCCAAGTCAGTGAGGGCCTCCTCCAGGCGGGGGAGGGTCTGTGGGTCGTGCCGTCAGCCCTTGTTGGTCAAGTACGCAGGTCAAATGAACAAGATCGCCAACGTAGACAAGCCAAAGAAAACAAACCTGTAAGTTCAAATTGAAAGGCTCTGTATTCCTTTGTGGAGTTTTTTCCGTTATGATGAACTTGTGTATTTTTCTGGGATAGATGAAAAGACTTCTGGGTCGGAGGAATGCGTCAAATACACTGGCGAAGGATCAAAATCAGACACCGTCTGCTGGGCTGGATCCTAGTGGCGCTCTTCGAGTCAGTGCACCCCAGTTTGGTTTATGTGATTTTCCAGTCATGATTAATGACAGAACTACTGCTGGCAGTGTAGTGCTAAGGTGAGTTCCTTTACAAAAAGAAAAGTACAACTTTGAACTTTGACACAATTAAGCACAATTGTAATCACTTGTAATTTTTGTCATTTCTCCTTTAGTCTTGTTGAAGAAATTTCAAAAGACCCTGACGCTGCTTTAGCTAGACCTTCAGCTGGTGGTCGAAATGACAGGAATCAGCGTCGGCCACATAGTGTGTACGGACAGATTAACTCCAACGCAACCAATCCTGTGCTTGGTCACAGCAGAGGAAATGGGGTCCTGCAGCTTGCCCACAATGCCAACCTTAGCTGTCTTCTGGCAACAGCTGATGCAGAGCTTGCCCTGAAAACCCACTTTCTGTACGAGGTTGGAGGAAATATAGGTTTGTATTAGTTCTACAAGGCTACTATGTAATGTGAAATCAGCAAAGGGATTACAAGAAAATTGATTCATAACAAAAATATTATTGTTTCAGGTGAACGCCAATTGGAACAGACAGCAGTCATAACAACTGTGCTCCATGAGAATCCCAACGCATCCTGGGTGCTAAGATGCCACCACAGAAATGGTAACAATCCCCTGACAGGATTGTCCAACAACTGAAGCAGTGAAGGCAACTTTAAAGAGCATTTTGCTTCTTAGAAGATATTGTTCTTTTTAGGGTTGGAACATATGTGACATACCAAAGCCTCCGTCATTCACCTTACACCAAGTGCTGAAAGGTTTTGTCCCTTTATATTAATTATTTTAAAATTTTACTCTAAGAGAAACGATGTATGTACATATGTATGTAAATATTTGTAAATGTGACAGACGTAATAAGATGGATAGATGTGTCAAGTGGTTTATGCATTTAAAATTTCATTACAATTGTAGATTTGTATTTTATCTTTAGTTTGTATGGAGATTTCAAGTCATTGTAATTAACTAGGTAGGTTGAAGAGACATACTGAATGTCTTCAATATTGTGTGTTAAAATTTCGAACTTGTGATTGGCTTTGTATATTTACAAAGGATACGTTTTATAATAGGGTCTATTTTGTCGATCAAAGCTTTCTGAAGCTGTGCTGGGATGAAACTTTACAGTCGTAATAATATCTGATTGCTAACTGAAATATTCTGGTATCACAAAGGCGAGATAGATGCCTATAGTGCTACTTCACTTAGTCATTATTTGTTGTAGTGGTGTTCACCTTTGTTTGAATTGCATATGGCCATATTTGTTTGCACTCTGGAATGTATGTTGGCAATTACATTGTTTCCTTTTTTTCTTTTACTTTTGTATGTTTGATCTTCAGGCTACAAATAATTTAACTTCAATTGGTAGCTGCCAAAACAATGTAGTGTAAGAATGCAAGTTTCTAGTCGTGAGGTATTGTGCTTAAACATCCATTAGGATTACCACATAATGTATTAAATACTTTTATTAATTTTGATTTTGGCTGCATAGCTTGGTCTTTACATAGAAATGCTCAACTGTACCACTGGTTTATTTGTTCAATGAATGCAGATAAACAAACCAAAGAATTGCAACAGAAATGACTTAACTTCCATTTGCAACTTTGTTAAACTAGCATTTTAATTTATACTTGTATTATGAATGCAAGTGTCGAATTCTCCACTCTGTTGTTCACTTGCTTTTACACCCTTGATCCAATAAAACGAAATCAAAACTTCTTTGACAATTTTTTTCCCCATTCCCAATTTATCAATCTACATTGACTAAAGGCCCAAGAATAACAAATCATCATATTGCTCTAAGAGAGCATACTCTAGAAACTGAAGAGAGGAAATACCCTAATCGAATACAGTAGTTCAGTCTTATGTTAAAAATAAGATGACATAAAACAGATGTCACTTACTTGGGTGCTATAGTAGGAACTGCACTTGAACTCAAACGCCCTCTCTTTGCGAAAAAATCCTTCTCTCAAGGAAAGCTTTCCGCTCGGGAATACGGTTGCACTTGTTCACAAAGTCTTCCCACTGGATCCGAACATTTTCTGAGACTGAAACCAAAAATAGGAGTAAAAATGGTTGTTAGAGAAAAACACAAGACAAGAGGCGCATAAATTACACTTTGTAAACAGAACCTAGCCGTCCAAAACATGTGAGCTTAAAGGTTATGAACCCCACACGGAAACTACCGCCGTGCCTCCAAACAAACTTACGTGTGATGTTTTACTGCATGAGCAACTCCTTATGTGCTCTTTAAATCACGGTCCACACACGCTCCTTAGCACGAAACTGACTATGTTGATTTCTTGAAATTCCGAACGAAAACAAACAAATGACCGGCCCCCGGACGCGCCTTGTTTACACGACAACCACTACACCGCAGGTGCCGCCGCGCGGGGTATCGCCGTCGTGCTCTGCCCGGCGATACCCCTGCCCCGAAGTGTCTCTCTGGACCGGGAGTATGTTTCGAACTCCAATCAGGCGTGAGTGGCGCGAACATTTTCATGATAAATTCCTCTGACTCGGCACTCCGTCAGGTGTCAACGCCGTTCTACTTGAGCATGGAGACGAATAGAGTTATGAGTCAACTCTGGTGATGCGACTACCCGTCTCATCAACGACGCCTTTCTCCGAAATATACTACGTTCGTGGAACCTCGGACTGTCCGATACACTTCTCGATGAACCGACGCTCCCTCAGGGTGCCAAGACGAAGGTTCGAACGCTGTAGACCCTTCAGCCCGAGTCCTCCAGCTGGAGTCATTTGGCCCCGCAGCGCTGGAGAGCGCCCGGACGGCAGGCAATCCAACGCGCACCTGCGCACCGCGTTGCCTACTGCCCGGGCGCTAGTCACCCTGGGACAGTGGAGGCTGGGCTGGCTGGACACATCAGTGTGTCAGTGTGTCGCGGGGGTAGGCTCCCTCCAGGCCGTAGGCTGAGCCCTCTGCTTGCGCGGCCCCCCACCAGAGGGCGCGGACGGCCGCGCGGCGCCCCGACGCCCTCCCTCCGTCGCGACGCCCAGCTTCGCCAGCTCGGCCTGCCGCGCCGCGACGGCCGCGCTGTTTATTTTGAGCCGACCCGGTGCCCGAGTCAGTCGCCCCTCGCCGTCCGCGGCCGTGCCCCGCACGCACCACGCACGCGAGCACGTGCTTGCGCCAGGTCACTGCCGTGCGTGCCTCTACCGCCCCCGCCGCCCCCGCCATGGACTCCAGGGTGTGACGCCGCCGAGGGCCACGCCGAGAGGGCTGCTGCAGTGTCCGGTCTATAAGGTAGGCCATTGCTTCTGCGTCATGAAAAATTCAGTGACCGGAATGGAGCGGCCGTCAGGGAGCGCCCGCGTGCCCCGCGGCCGGTTCGCCCAGTGTGCCGTGGCCGCCGTGCCCGCTGGCCACTTCGCCGTCCGGCCGGGGGACCGGCTGCACGTGTACGCCGTATGAAAACCACGGGGGTTCATCTACTTCGCCAGGACTGGCATCGGGCGAATGTGAGCGGGTGTAGTACGTCAGGTGCAGGTACGCGGAGGCACCTTTCGCGAGCAGGCCTTGCGGTCCTACTACTCACCCCCTCCCCTCCCGCACCCCTGGGAGAAACTGTCGACGCTCCACCAGACTACACAGGGGGTTCGGTTCCAGAAACAAAACCTTGGAGGTGCGGCGTGCCTTAACAACGACCCTTAACGGGTGCAGACACCAGACCGGCAAGGATCAGTCGCTCAGAGTCAGACTTCGTGCTCGGCGTTCGGAGGCAACCCCCTCGCCGAGCACCCCGAACACGGCGCACAGCACACAAACGGCTCGGCGTCCTGGCGGCGCCAAACAGAAAATCCACGGTCATTACGGCGAGTGCTGCTTTCGCCGCTCTCTCTCTCTCCCTCTCTCTCTCCCCCCTCTCTCTCGCACTCACGGTGCGTCCGTCGCAGTGCGAGAGAGACAGAGCGAATGCGCGGAATCGCCCGCCTGCATGGAGACACAACAGGTAGCTGCGTTAAGTGCGAGCCGCTTGGGCTTTTCGAGAATTAATGAGATGGCTGTGTGCTGCAGCTGCATTCTGCAGGTGCCACGCGGTGCACGTCCTTCTCGTGTGACGCACCCCGGCGTTGCCTGGCGCTGCCGCCAGAGCGCGCCAATTTCAAAGCGCTGCGTGTCGTCTGCACGGCGCCAATTTTTAATTTCCATGAAGGTTGTTTGCGTTGGGCCGCGCCGCGCCGCCCGCGCGGCCGATTCGTCTTGTTGTCTGTTTGGTCTGCGAGACAGTCCGGGACGGTCCGGGCGGGACGGTCGGCGCGGCGCGGCGCTGGCCGAGTCAACATGAAAGGAATCGGAACGGCGCCGCGAAATAATGCGGTCGGAAAATACAAGATCTCGAGAAAATAAGGAAAATAAGGAAAATATAATCACGGCGGCGGCCGCGGCTGTAGAGACCGGGAACCGGGGGGTCGCTTTTTGCAAGGACGGCCCCGGCCAGACTGATAATGAGGCGGGACTGCAACCCGCCCTCGTCTACCGTTTACCGATGCGTGCATTCATTCAATAATTTGTCCATTCATTCATTGTCTCATTATTTTTTAAACCTTTAGCGTTCGACTTTACGCCATGACGTTTTTCAAACATTTCTCAATTCTGCTGCACTTTCATTCTGCTAGCTTTTCAGCTCACGCGGTTGCCGCTGCGTTTCTCTGACACCCCACCCGGTGCATCGTCATACCGCCCCTCCGACCCGGCGCGCGTGACGTACCGTATGGATGGGCGCAGCCGCGCAGCCCTCTTAAAAATTAGACGCCGAGTGAAAGGTTTCCACCGCCCCGCCCCGCCCCGCCCCGCCCCGCCCCGCCTTCCCCAAGGGATGAAAGCTCCCCGCGGATCGGCTTCGCCAGCCCCGCTCTCTCGCCGACTGCTGCGAGCTAGACGCGCCGCAGCGAGGCGAACTTCGTGGGAACGGCAAGGCTCTGCCATGGCTCTGCGTTCCGAATATCGCCCGCCGTCTCGTTCCTTTGTGACGGCGCGTTGCGTGGCGGCGCTACTCTCTCTCTCTCTCTCTCTCTCTCTCTCTCTCTCTCTCTCTCTCTCTCTCTCTCCTCTCTCTCTCTCTCCTCTCTCTCTATCAACCCTTCCGCAAGCCACGCCACACGCCCCGCAAAGTTTCTCTTTTTTCTCTGTTATTTTTTAAGCCCGCGGTGCGGCTGTTGTGTTTTAATGGCGGAACTTTCTAATCGCGGAACCGTGTATGATCAAGTCGTTGTGGAAAGGGCCGCGGGAAAAAATTGTTAAAGTTTAAGAGGCCCGGCTGAAACGCCTCCACACTCACGTCGACCTGAGAGAGAGAGAGAGAGAGGAGCGTTGCGGCGAAGTTTGGCGTTGTCCTGGACGGCCGTGAGGCATAGGCAAATGTTTGAGAACATTTTTTGACGCCTCCCCTTTTCCTGTCAAATTATTGCCGCTTTGAGCCGAAATCTGCTCCCTGCCATCCATTACCGGGCCGGATTCGTGTTTATGACCGACGTGGCGAGCCCCCGCCTCAGTCTTTTGTTGGGTAATCGATTCCACCGGATTGGAGGGAGGCTCGTTTTATGCGCGTCTAGCCTATGCCGAGCATGCCGAGGCATCAGTGAAGTTAGTACACTTTGTTGTTATGGAAGATGCCCTGGGGGAAACTGATCGCAGCCAGCGACGCACTAAAACACAGCCATCCGATCGGCGAGCTCAACGCCCCGGCCGAGATTGCAAAGGGAAGGAGCTGCAGGATCGCCAACTTAAAAATCTTCAACGTCTTCTTTGTGGCTGCCGCACTTTTTGTTACCATTTATTTTTTTCGCGGTGTGCTGGCCTGCCTGCGGCGGTCGTCCATCGATACGCTATGACGTGCAGTCACGGGGGATTCCCCCTGCCAGTGCGGGACAAATGTGGACCGCAGTTTTGGCCGGTCCTGTGGGACTGGTCGCTGGAAGCGGGCTGGAAGCTGGAACAACGCGACACGCCACTGTCGGGGCGGCCAAGCCCAGCCCCGCCACGCAGTCACGCGTCAGCGAGGCAAGGGGCCGGCCCAGCCGGGGGAGGACGCACAGTGGGCCAGACGACGACGGTTGAGGCGGCCAAAACTCTAGACGCGTTTTGAGCTGCAGAGTCGCTAGACAGGACTCGAATTGAGCGTGTGACCCCACCAATGGATTCCTCGTTCGGAGAGCAATCCATTGGTGGGGTCACACGATCAATTTGAGTCCCATTTAGCGACTCTGCAGCTCAAAACGCGTGTTTTTGCCGCTTCCACTGGTCTTCTGGCCCACTGTGCGGCGGGACGGTGGGGCGGTTCGCGCGCAGTGTTTGAGTTTCAGCCGATCGCAGTTGGCACTGCTTTGCCGGAGTTCCCTCCACCGCCTTGGTCCGGGCCTGCCGACTGATTCCGAGGGTCGGTTTCGTCGCTCTGTCTCTCTCGCACCGGTGCAGGGGACGCCCCATGAGTGCGAGGGAGACAGAGCGACGGAAACGACTCTCCGCGCCGGCCGCGGTGGCGCGGTGGCGGTTTCTCTGCCTTTACCTCGCATCCACCGACGGCAACACGGCAACACCACGCGCGGAGAGTTTCCCAGCGACGATGTACTTACGGTGCTGTCATGTTACAGAGTTGCCGAGTTTTCTTAATTAGCTTTCGCTTTACGGTGCCCCGTCATAATCCATTCCAACAATCCAGTCTCGCCGGGCAGAACTTACGGCCACCTTTGAACCGCCCCTCTACTCCCCAAAAAGTCGCTCGTGGGACCAAGGAAATGTACTGGCCATAAGTGAAATTACTTGAAAAGTAACAAGTAGATTATCTTGATTTCAGAACGAATTTTTTGGGTGTACCCGGAAAACCGGTTCACCTTTTCACCCCACTTTGTTGTTTTACCCAATTTTCATTTTAATGAAAAGCTTTGTCTGTCCCACTGCTTATTCCCATGCCGTTGACAAGAGTCTCTGTCTCCCAGAGCGGCTGCAAAGCGTAGCAAAAAAAGGAGGGCCCATTCTTTTCATTTCATTCACCTTTGGCTCGAGGCACTGCAGGGCACTGGGGTACAGTGGCGTTTTCTTCTTGTTTTCCTCGCGGCCTCTTCAGCCGTTAACCCCTTCCCTTTGGACGGCCACGCAGGCAGGCAGGCAGGCAGGCAGCCAGCCAGCCTCCCCGCAAGGCCACCGCAGCCTCATCATCATTGCTGTTATCGAAGCTCGCGGGGGAGAAAGGGGAAAGGCCGTTTTCTCGTCTTTGACCCGTTATCTTCTTTTCTAATTCCACAAATCCTGCGGGGAGGCCCCGCGGAAGCAAAATGGCGGCGTTGCAGTGTAGAGGAGAACAAGCCGAAGAGTGACGTTAATTAAATAACAGCGTGATGCCGGCGCGAAGCCTAACCCTCACTCCTTTTTTCGGCTCCGCGACCTTGACATTTTTCATCTCTTTCTTTGCTCGCTCAAAATTGCGTCACGCCACGTACGGAATTGCACTTGCACATCCACTGGGAAGGTTCCCGCCAAAAAGAGCGCATCAAGATGGACAAATGCTGTCAGTAACTAATAGAGTCTCCCTCCCCAGCCAGCCCGAGTCGGGCCCGTCGGACTGCCGAGTCTGATAAGCGCCTTCTCCGCTAGGCCGCCGAGGCGCGCGCTCAAATTTCCCCCCACCCCTCCCCCTCACCCCGCGGAAAATTAGAGAGAGAAGGGGGAAGGTCGACAAAGAGAATCTCCGCCGGGGGAGCGAGGGAGGAATAGTGCAGCTAATTGTAAAAGGCACTCGCTGGACCCCCCCCCCTCCCCTCCCCCCCTCGGGGAATTATTGTTGTCCAGTAATTATGGAAGGCTTGCTTGCTGTGTGATTTCGATTCAAACTGGTGCTGTTTTGCCATGAGTGTCTTTCGGCGTCCTCGGAAGAGAGTTCGTCCCCTTGCGTGTTGGTGTGTGACAGAGTCCGCGCGTGCTACAACGACTACAACTCAAAATCCACGCCCCGCCCGGCTCGGCCCTGCATACAGTGGTCTGATCGATGTGGTCCTTGCCCCCCGAGGGTTCAAAGGGCGGAGGAGGGTGGGGGAGGGCCAGTCAGCTGTCTCTCTCTCTCTCTCTCTCTCTCTCTCTCTCTCTCTCTCTCTCTCTCTCTCTCTCTCTCTTGCACACCAGAAGTGAGAGAGAGAGAGGCACGAAATAGCGACACTGTTTCGAGTCAGTACAGAGTGACTCTCCGTCAAAATGTGACATTCAAATTTATGTCCGCCCGCCTGGATTCGGAGCCGTGACCCTCGCTCTGC